ATCCAGGAGGGTCCTGGTTCAATCCAGGAGGGTCCTGGTGCTGAATCCAGGAGGGTCCTGGTGCTGCAGCTCCCCATGCGTGTGTTGGGGGCTGTGTGGAACACACAGAGATGATCCCCTGCACCGGGGATAGCCAGGCTTGGACTTATCCCAGATAATCTCTTCCCATCTAAGGCCTAAGGGGGCATTAAAGCTGAATCTCTCCCTCTGCTGAAGCCATTCCAGCAGCGCTGGGCAAAGCAGACGGGCCTGGAAGGTGCTGAGCAGGAGAGGCTTGATGATGCAGGGACTGGGAGCTGGGAGGTTGTACCAGGCTTTCCACCAGCCCCTGCCTTTCAGAAAGTTACTTTCTGCCTTTTTGAGTCTTATTTTCCTCTGAGGGGAGCCAGGGGCTCACAGGGGAGTGCTGAGACTGCATTAGCTGATAACCAGTGTCTCCGGTGCTGTTTGATTGTGTCCACAGCCAAGCCATGGAGGAGCTGCAGCTCCATCACGTTAATGGGGACATTAACCCAGTGACACCAATCTCTTAACCCCCCAAAAACCCGCCGTGAATCACCCAGAGATGGATGTTAGCACCTCCCAACCCAGGGAAGGATTTGTAGCGTGGCCTCAGAGCAGCAAAGTCCTTCCCGAGCCAGGGAGGGGGAAAAGAAAACCCAGAGCAGCAAAACCCCAACCCCCCTTTTTTGCTGCACCACGAACTCCCAAGGACAAAGGACAAAGCTGTGCCCTGTTCCAGCCAGGCTGTGTCCCCTCCCTGTCCCCACCACCTCCCCTGGGCTGGGGCAGTGACGGGCTGTGCACGGGGGGGCTTTTTGGGGGGGCTGCATGAGGCTGTCGGGGATGCTGCGGGTACCACCCGGAGAGGATGCTGGGCTGGGGGTTTTGGGGTGACTGTGGCTGCTCTTGGTGCACCCCTGGGGCTGGGCTGGGGGTTTTGGAGGCACTGTGGCTGCTCTTGGTGCACCCCTGGGGCCAGACTGGGGGGTTTTGGGGGCACTGTGGCTGCTCTTG